AAAGGGAGCTGAGACCCCCCCCTTTCTTCAGACTTCAAAGGCAGTCAGCTGAGAGCTTCTCAGGAATGTTACATCTGCTCAGAGTAAACGTGGGTCGGAGGGAAGGCACTTTTTCCTCTTCCAAAGTGTCTGAAATTTGTACACAAATTTTCTTGAGAGTCTGATAAACAAGACACAACCTCATCAGGGATGGATGGCGTGCAGTAGTGAAGGATGAAAAGCCAGCGAGTGGGAGTCGTTTTCTGCAGAGCCATTTAGTTGAAACACTAGTTTTATTTTCCTGATGCCTTACTAGAAAACATTTTAATGTCTGTGCCTTTAAATGAAATTGATTCAGAAATTGAAACTAAACAAATGGACTGAAATGTGAACTTCTAATGCCTGCCTTCTCCTCAAACTCTTAGCTTGTGCTAGCTTTGTACCTGCTGACACGCAGTCTTTTTATTAAACAGCTTGTCCTTTTGCTTTCAGTCTTAATCTGCTTGTATCAAACAGTGAAATCAAACAGTTTTTCTTTCTGACTGCAACGCTTAACTGCTGTTCCTTCAGTGAGTGGTCCAAGGCAGCGGAGGGGCTTTGGAGCAGACACTTGACATGCCACAGAAAAATGGCACTGCCAGCTTGGGGGATACAGCAGGTGGGCGCAGGAATAGGACCTAGTTTAACACCACTCTGCCTATAATGGGTGGAAATTTATTGCTAATTTGGATGAAAGCTGATGTGCGGCGTTGCTGAGAACGTCTGGAAATCCTCCCCACAGTGGGACTTACTGACACCACCAGGTCTCAGCCAGCCTTGTCCATAACTGCCTCTTCACATTTCAAAAGTGTAACTGAACTGCAAATGGCTTTCACACCAATTATTTCCCTCTTGCTTTTAAATAGAACCGGGAGGGGGGTTGTTTATCCCCTTTCCCTGGTGCAGCTGAAACCCAGAGCAGGGAGCTTGTGCTGAAGCTGTTGTCTCCTCTGCACGTTTCCCATAAGGAGGCCAGGGAGTGTGAGATTTGTGATTCAGTGTGCGGCTTTGTCACATGGGTACTCAGGCTGAAAATGATGGAAATCTTGGTGCTGTCTCACTTTGGGTTAGGTAAGTATGTTTCATTTGTTGCTTTTGTGGATTTTTCTTTTAAACCAAATTCTTAAATGAAGAGCAGCAATATTTAACTTCTGAGTAAATAAGCAGAGAACTCTGGCTTCATCTTGACTAATCCGTTTAACATTAATCAGACCAAATATTTACACTAGGCATTGAATATGCAGGCAGTGTAATTCTGATGCTAAAATTTGTGCACTGAGAATGCTGTAGATTAACTAATCCTGCAGAATTCCAGAAATCCCTGTCTGTATAAATAAACTTCCTATATGAAGGATTATGACTAAATAAATGCTGTGAATTCAGATCAGCAAAGCAGAAGTATAGCACTTGGCCCTCTTCTTGTGCGGCTTACTTAGGTATTTTTATAAGGATATTCATTTTAGTCTAAATAGATGTGTAAAGAAAACTGCAAGTATTGAAGCACGATGCTGTCATACACTGCAGGAATAAAGTTCACCTCTCTGCCTTTTTGCTAGCAACTTTTATCAGTTTTCAGACTGCCATCAGCTTGATTTACCCAGGCTGTTGATACTGTTATTCTTTTTTTTTGGCGTGGCATTTCTAGTGAATTAGTGTTTTGCAGGTTTTCTCCCCTTCCTGCAACTGGTCAATGTAAAGAGTACATGAAACTGCTGTATTAGAGAGAGATAAAATTTGTAGCTTAGTTGCTGAAGATCCCCTCCGCCCCCTACCCACCAACATTCCCCCAGATGCTGAGCAGAGCCTACAGCATCCAGATATACCAGCAACAAAGTTGGCATCTCAAGTCAGGTCTGTTGTGTCCACTGCAGGGAATACTTACAAGGCTCCGGTGTAAACCTGTTGGTATGGATGTGGTGTAAGCAACCTTCTGGGCAGTTTGGCTTCTGTCCTGTTACTACATTAATTAGCCTGTCTTTGTTGGATTTAAGTGCAGACTTATCTGGGACCCTTATCTCGGAGAAGTCCTGTTCCTTAATGTTGCCCTGTCTGTTACTGGACATTGTTCCAGACATGTGAGGGCTGTAAACACCCAGGGGAGAGGGGATAGTTTGTCTATCGTAAAGGGAATAACTAAAAAGAATGGGATCAAGTTAGAGAAGTAAAATCAAAACTGTCTGAGGAGGACTTCCCAACAGCATCGTTCATTAGGTTCACGGAAAGCTAATGTGCGCCTTGCCGTCAGAGAATTTTGAGAATAAGACTGCAAAAATGAAATCGTAGTAAGGACAGCAGGATGGAGTTGTTCCCAGACAATCTTACTCACTGCTGTTTGCTTATACTATTCTGTGTAACAGTAGAAAACTAGAAGGAAGAAATTACCCAGCTGCTGCATTGTCAGGAAGACATCTGGCCCAGAACCTGTGCTGGCCATGGCCACTTGGTCCTAACGGATAATTCTCCCTCTTAAAAGGGGCCGGTGGGGGCAGAACTACACCTTACTTTACTTGCCAACATGCTCCGTGGGGAAATTGCTTCTGTGTCCTGTGCTGGATTAGTCAGTTCTTTCAACGCTGTATCTGAGGAAGAATCGCTGCAGCTAGGCAGCTAATCTCATTTCTGTCCTCAGATAAGATTGTTATCAAAGTAATTGTCTGTTTGCTCCCCCTTCCGAGTCTAATCAGAGTGGATTGTGCCAGTACCTCCAGGGGCAGAGGAACTCCGAAGCTGATTGCCCTCAAAAGAAAGAGAAAATCCTCAGTGTATATTTAATGTAAACTTCAGTTTTGGTAGATGTTCACGGGAAAATCAGGTAGAAATAACTTTCTCAGACGTGTCTTGCGCATTTCACAGCAATATATTTGTTCTGGTCTAAAATCTTAAGTTCAGGCAGGCAAGCTCATGTAGCGCATGCGGTGCCGAGGGTTTCAAAAGACAGTGCTGTGCACCAGTGGAGCTGGTACTTTGCCAAGCCCTGGGACAGAACAAGTTCATGTCTGCAGAGAACGCATACTCTTAGATGTTGGTGTTCCAGCCAGTGAATAATTCTGAACAATTAGTGCTTTTTCCCTTATTTCAAAGCAAATTACAGAGGTGGGTGTATTTTGCTGATGGGTATGAAGGAGGCTCAAAGATATTAATTTTTCATATATCCTTCAAGTCGGGGCTAGAACTTTTCTCTTGATGTGTTTACCTGAGGAAGCGTTCTGTTTGGTCTCTTTCTAGTGGTGAGCAAACCGTAGGTAATGCAGCACTCGGGTGAAGTACAGAAATGCTGTGTGCTCCCCCTGTTACATGTGTGAGAAAGCTGAGACACAGAGGCACCATGGACTGCTGTCAAAGTTGCATAGATAAGGAGGTCTGTGCCAGAGCCAGCATCACTAGTGGCTGCTCCTGATTCCATCTTCCAGCTCCAACAGCCAGCCCAGCACAAACAGCAAAATGTGATCCTGCCCTTAATGGTGTTGCTGTTGTAGAGATGTTGTCTGGGTCGACCAGACCTGTATCCCTGGATAGCTTAATGAGGCTCTATAGCTTTTTGAGTGTGACACCTAAAGCAAGCTTAGAGGGCAAGGGCATACCAGCGAAGAGAGCTCTTAGCTGCTGAACTTGCATGCCTTGTATGTGAGAACCGCTGAGACTGTCTGATTCAATCAGGCTTAAAAGGTGTTGAACAAAGCAGGTTCTATCAGGCACATGTAAAAGTCATCTTGGGGACCTTGAAATTGGTATGGCCACAGCTGCTTCTAGCCTAATGTGCGCTTGGTGTGCTTAGTGTGGATATTCTCTACAACTTTTATTGCGTAGTTTGCTGCTTCCTGCTCCATTAGACTTCAAATCACTAATTGCAGTGGTAGCTTTGTGGCTGTAGTGTCCCTTTTAGAGGGAACCATAACCACTTTACACTTGCTGGATGACTTAACTGATGTTGCTCTCCTCTTTACAAGGAGAGAAACAGAACTGCAGAAAGAAGAGAATAGAAACATAAAGAGGTTTAGAAGCTATTTTTACCCTTGACTATACTGCACTGAAGAGATGCCAGATACAGTGTTTAGAAAAGTGCTTCTGGAACTGGAAGTAATACAACTATGCCAGTGCGAGTAGTAAACTAAATAAGTAGGATGCAGTGTCCCCAGCGCTGATGGAACTTGAGCTTGCATCTTCACACGGTGCTGCGGTATTGCCTTACTCAGACCTAGCTGTGGTGTGTTTGGTTTGGCCCTGCTGCATGTGCCACAGATGTGAGAGTCCATCAGTAGACCTTGTGGTCCTTGAAGGCTCCTCTGTATGGTTTGTGGCCTCGTGCACAGGAATTATTTTTTTTTCTACCCCTTCTCCATTGCATGTGTGGCTTCATGTGATTTTCGCTGTGGTTATGTTTTGTTTTTTCACTTGAAGAGTATATTTGGCAGCCTTTGGTCCTCTAATGGTCCTTTAATCAGGCACCACAGCTGTACGTATGTTAAATGTGCTTTGTTATCTAGATTACAGTATGGTGTTCACTACCTTTGTGAGCGATTCATATTCCAGAATCTAGTCTCCAGCTGTTCTTTTTCTGTAATGACACTGAGGACATTGTTGTGATTTACTTTGCTACTTCTGCTGGCATAGCGCTTTGGCTCCATCCCTGATTGGATGCATCACTCCCCATGTTGTGGTGTTGACGATGGGTTTGTACATTAAGGAGCTGTTGGCTGATTTATGAAAAGTGCACTTCTGGAGGCTGGGAGCAGACTTTTCTGGAGGGACTAATGAGCTGTAGTCCCTGTCTGCTTCCCTTCCCCAGCGTTAGCTCTCTGCAGTACCTGCAGCACACGATAACAACAATGGGTCTGTTCCCTGACCTCATTCAGTTTATGGCTGCATCTGCCCTGTTCAATGCTGCCCTCCTGTCTGTCATCCATGGTGCTGCTTATTCAGTGCATGATAACTACTCTGAAGCTAGAACTTAAGTACCTGCCTAGTAGTCCCTTCATGCTGTACCCTGGACTGACCCACCAGTTTGCAGAGTGGTGAGTCACAATTACTCCTTAGCAAAATTACCAGGTAGGTCTTTGAATCCTTAAAGGTATCTGTCCTGGGCTAATCTGAGTGTTCCCTGGTGAGGGGGGAGTCTACCTTGAAAATTTATGAAAGTAGAGCATTAAATCAAACACTACCAAAGTAAGTGTAGCACGAACCTATCTCAAGTTACTATTATTGCTTCTGCCAGCTACCATAAAAAGCTTTTCTAGACTCTATTAGCAAGTGAACAGAAGGGATGTGACAGAGCTGTCAGGCCCAGACTGTCGGTCTGGTCTATGCCACGCTCAGGAGTACATGACATGACCAAGGCGTTCCGGTATCAGAGTTGATATAAGGACAGATCTCTTCCTTGCTGCCTCCAACTGCAGTGCCTTCTTTCAGTAGCAGTTGGAGATGTTGGGATAATTGAGTGTTCTCCATAAAGGTATTCTGCTCAGCTGTAAGAATGGCCAGGCATAGTGCAAAAGAGGTAACCAGTCTTGCTAAATAATAGTTTTATGAGAGACGGTATAGAGAAGTCTATAGTTGAGGCCAACAACCAATCCATGTGGGAAGCACGGTGTCAAATAGCAGAAAACAGAAGAATAAGAACTATTTTACTTGTAACCTCTTGCAAGATTTGCTTCATTTTTATGGGTCTTCAATCGTCTGTGACAATGATCTTTATTTGGTTGGATTAATCCACAGGGGTTCTGTGCAAACTGTGGACAAAATTTACGTATATATACACACCATATCAGTTAAGATGGCTCCAGCCTGGAACTTGGTAGAAGAATTAAACTGATTTCAGTGAGAGCGGAGCAAGGCATCAGACTACTTTTGAAAGAAAACTTAAACAGAAATGATTCTGTGTAGATGAGCACTTGAGTCCTGCAAGACACTTCCATCATAGAAGTTGCCTCTTATCTATAAGGCATGAAAGCTGGGAGAAAGGAAGCTTTTTTAACTCCAAGGAGGCATCAAGAGCACATGGGAAAGGACAGGGAATAGAAAACCGTTCAGGTGAGCCGGAGAGTAAGGATGTCTTTGAAGTGAAGCCAAGTGTG